GGGGGGGGGGCTTCTGGTCATATAACTGCCGGAAGTTACAGGTGTAACAAGAAAATAACAAAAAACTGAGACGCAAAAGGACGGTGAATACGGACGATACATGTTTTATAGGAAAGAGGGAGCAAAACCAGACCAGACCACCCGCTAACCACCCAGATATATAACTTCTAAAGGAGGAAACAAAATATTCACCGTGAAAAATGGTAGATAGACGTAAATCTGAATGCTTCTGTCATGTTCCTTTCACCTTGTTTGCATCGTGTACAGGCTGTTCTCCTATTTATTTTGTCACATGTGGTCAATGTTATGCCATTATAATTCCAGCTCAATTTAATCTAAAGGGAACCAGAATGGCATAGCATTCATTGAAGGCGATATCTAACACGTTTGTGTACTATTCAACATAAAAAACCTATACCAAAAGATACCATTGTGCAACTTCCTCCCGCCATGAGTTGTCACGGTAAGTATTCTCCATTGATGAGCGTCTAGTTCTAAATAAATGGCGCACAAACAAGAATCCTACTAAAAAATTTAATGATTGTTTTATTCTTTAAACACCCAAAGCTTATGGTTTCTTTCGAAAGTTATCTCTTTTGTCAACAGTCTTGTTAAACTGCATGTAAATAAAGTGGGATGAATTTGAAATTTCAGATTGTCAGAATATTCAAATCTTTTGCTGGGGCTTTATGGTAGGGCTAACTTATTCCATCTTCTTCATAGGCTCCATTTGAACTCCAGCCGTGTCCTATTGATTATATTTTTTAAACAAGCTTTTGTAATTAGCAGCAAAAGAAGACATGCAATCAAAATATTTTAAACATAATGAAAGACAAACAATACAAACTGACAATTCAAAACATGCAGACATTAGTATGGGCCACACATTGAGAATGAAAAAATCTGAAAACTCGAGAAATTTTGTGATCGGTTGTGAATTTATTCCCGCAAATAGCAGTTAAGTTGTCCCCGGTTTCCTCATAGTACGACTTGTATAACAAAAATCTGGTCGGCTACATGTTGGCACTCAATGTTCGAGGGGGAGGTCAAATCAACTGATTCGAAAGAATAAAATCACTGAGTATGCCCCACAGAAGACAACAGCAGACGATTCATAAGGCGTTTTCAACAACACAAAGGCGATGTTCTTCCGAAATCCTGGTCTCATCCTTCGGCTTGGAACCACGCTATAGCTTAAGTTTTCTCGCCTTCTGACGCCTTCAGTGGGGCAAAAGTTTTTGAGACGCAACTTCCGGACCCAACTTGCGCATGCGTGGAACAACGCAATCAGTTCTGGAACGAGGTCTTTCAGACGTGCGGTGTGGCGAAGTTGACCTAATTTAGGCCTCCTCCTCACCCTCCTCCTCGTCGAACTCTCCCTCCTCCTCGGCGGTGGCGTCCTGGTACTGCTGGTACTCAGAGACCAAGTCGTTCATGTTGGACTCAGCTTCAGTGAACTCCATCTCATCCATGCCCTCGCCAGTGTACCAATGGAGGAAAGCCTTGCGCCTGAACATAGCTGTTGTGAACAAGAAAGAGGAGATATATTTGTGTGTCTGGAAATTTCCTAGCATGTCATTATTTTAGTAAGAGCACTTGAAACACAATAGGGCCATACGGGTGAGTGTCGAAGATTAGAAGTGTTATCAGAGAGTAACAAAAAATAAACACAAAGGAGGAGACATAAGGACAATGGATATTTCACAGGAAAGAAGGACCAAACCATAACAGAGCACCCGCCAACCACCCGCCCAATATGTCAGGAGAGAACATCGCTGACGGAGAAATTAAAAGCAAATAATAAGGTGTGTACTAGTCACTTTGGGGATCACGTCACCAAGAGGAAAAGACGCACAAGCGAACATGGTTTGGGAACAACTTACGAAATGCACAGCGTGCTGCGATGAGCGAGACAAGAAATGAGATTAGAGGAGGCAATAGTAGAGGACAAGTTTGTTGAACAAAATGAACAGACTAAGAAATGAGGGCGACACTCGAAAAGTTCGAAAACAAGAACCGTTAAAGGAAAGCGATAACTTGCCCGTCTGCTTTTCTCAAAACTTGACCGGACAATTTGGAAAGTGATAATATGTCGACCAGGGGGAATGTTCTCACTGACAGACAGACAGACAGACAGACAAACAGACAGACAGACAGACAGACAGACAGACAGACAGACAGACAGACAGACAGACA